GGCGCGGGGGGAGGGGCAGTGGCGCCCCCCGGGGGCCCTCGGGAAGAGGCCTCCGAGATGGAGGCACGGGTTCTTGAACAGTTTCTCAACCTAGCATAGCAGGAGGTTCAAGAGCTCCTTCCTCCCTCTCCTAATCCTCAAGAAGCACCACAAGTGTGCCTTTCCCCAACCCCCCATTTTTTCGTGGCAATTTTCATCCCAGTTTTCATGTTCGGCTCAGAGAAAAAGAGTTTCCCTGGTACCTCAGACGTATGGTTGAGCTTTCCAAATAGAAGTAGGCCTCATTGGCCTCTGACTGCCTTTGAGAGTCCCACCTGCACCTCGTGTTCCTTGGATGGTTTGAGTTTACGCTTAGAAGCCTGTGCAATGAGGTGAGGCTGGATCTTCTAGTCAAATAGTGAGACAGTCAGTTGGTCAGGTAGAGCAACGTGTGGTCTTTGGAGTTTAAAGCTACAGCTTTGTGCTCTAGAGGTTAGACTTAGGCAAAGCTGTTCCTACTTCCAGCATATATTTAGTATATGTTCAGCACCTAAGGACACTTATTCTCCTCTTCATTTGTATAGTCTAGGACAGTGATAGCAAGGGAAGAAACATTACTTACCATTCGAGATAATACATAAAAATTACTAAACTGGGTAGGCTTTGCTGGTAGAAATAGAAGGGGGATGTCAGAGCAATTCATGGAGGAGGTGAGATGTGAGTAGGTCCTTGAGCAAAAGTAAATTTGGATATTCAGGGTGAGGACTGTGAAGTCTGAGAAACAATGGCTTGTGACAGTTAAATTTTTCTATTCTTACAGTTGATGTGGTTGTGTTTGTATTTGGAATAGATTGGGCAAAGGGGATGATTACACATGATTTCTGGGTGATCTCTGACAATCATTCTTTAGTTACTCGTGCTTTTCCTTTACTAGAAGAATTGGGAGGAGATGAGGACTATTTTCCGATTATGCACTTTTTGGGACTCAGTTGGAAGTAGCTTCTCTTCCTAAGAATTATAGTCATGGTTCACTCAGTATAGAGCATCCATTTTGACCCTGAAGGATTAATTCTAAATTATCTTCCACAAAGAAAAACTAACTATGTTAGTTTTCTAAAATCAGCAAATAAGTTCAAAGATGCCCCTAGTAACACGAATAGGGGCAAGGCCATCCAGATCATTCTATTTCCAAACTCAAACTATTAATACAAGATAAGTTTGAGTAGGTTTATAGCATTAGTTTTGATAATGAAAGATAGCATTTTTTTTTTGCCAAAAGCATAGATTGCTCTACACACACCAAAGTGAAGAGTCAGAAATCAAAGTGAAGTAGAAAATGTTAATTGTAATATTAAATTGTAAAAGACAGATTATTTGCAAATATCTATTTTGTATTCATTCATCCTATATATTTTGGTAGAATTTGTGCACAATGTTGTAGCACCCATTATATAAATTACTTACACTTATTTAAATATACATATATAAACAAAACAAAGAGTGAAATAACCTCTATTCATAGACAATATACAGACCTAGGAATTCTGTGAACATATAGAAACAGTCTTGTTTTTTCAAATTGCTAGTCATTTTTACCCAATAAACTATTGAATACTTCTTTCTAATTGAGTTTTTAAAAATTATTAGTTGCATCTTAAATAGTCTTACCTGAGCTAGATTGCTGCCATCCAAAGCAATTGTTGTGCTAGATGCCTTGAGAGTTAGATTTTTAAAACTTTTCTTCAAAGTTAATAAAAAATAAACATATATAAGTCATCAAGATACAGGTCTACTGTTTTTTAAAAACGCAGTTTATTTTTTATGTAGTACAAATGAAAAATGGCCAAAAATTTGTGTGGCCTAGTTCTGTTTTTTTTTTTTAAAAAAAGAATGCTTGTTCTTAGGGTTGCTGTTGATTTGGCCTGCAGTTACTAGAGAAACTCCAAGGATCTCATTGCATTTATATGGTTCATGTCTAGGCATGCCTGGAGACCAGAGAGACCCATGAGTTAATCTAAGTAAGAATGCTCATGGTGTTAAAAATGCTCAAACCGAAGATTGCATTTGTTTTAGACACACCAGGAAGGAACCTTTCAGGGGAATTGTTTACTGTTTTAATTTCTAGGCTTTTGGTGATCAAGGGGATGGGGCAGTAGCTCTAAGGAGACGAGGTAAAATTGGTTAGATTAGGAGGAAATGAAGAATATAAAAAAAACAATTTTTTTCTACCTTATCTTGGGAAAATTTATATTGGCTTAATTTACCACTCCTATATAAAAGACTAGATTGATGGGAGTTGGGAATGACCAATGGTAGAGACAACACACTCCCTCCCTTCGATGCACACAAACCTACCATCTGAACATCTGCTATCTTCTGCAGCTTTGGAAGGGGGTCTGAAGGAAGAAGTGAAGAGATTAGAAATGACTGTATTGGATTCTCTTAGAAAACATAAAGCCAAATTTTGGTTTTTATGGAGCTCATCAAATTTCAGAAAAACTTAACATTCATCATAGTATAGTACTTATGAAATAGTTTATACAATGGAACAACACTAAAGTGAATTTAGTGCCTTTGAAGAACTAAAAAGCAATCAATCTGTTTAGTCATGAGAGGTGATTTTCAATTGAACTAAAATGAGCTGCCAGCAGTTTTTATAATTCTATACTTCTGGTTCCATTTCATTGTTCTCTCATTAGGATGAATGCGGTATATTCTTAATTAGCTTCTGTTTATATTTATTGATTAATAGGTATTGTGGCTTTCAGTATAAAAATATTAACTTATTTTTTAGGTAAATCAGGAAGAATCTAACAAAATAAGCTTCATAAAATAGTGCTGGTGCTCTTATGAATTCCTCATGGAGGCAAACATCTTGTATACTTTCTATCTTTAGAGAGCATGGCCTCCAGGGATTGTGATCTAGTTTTCAGATAGACAATTTGTATACATAAACAATTAAGATTGTCAAATTATGTTAATCATAATACAATATGTAACTATAAATTAATATTCACATAATATATTACTAATGAAGAAATGAAATATTTGTTGTATGTTATATTTATAGCACATATAGATATATTAAGTATCAAGGTGGTTAGATTAATACATGCATAAGGAACCCTGCATACTAGTGTGAGTGTCATTATTGTCAGCATTGAGGTGAGGATAAGGAATATTACCAAAAGTCAAGACAGAGAGAAGGCTACATGGAAAAGGGAACTGAACTGATTCTAGAAGGAAAAGCACCAAGAATGTCACAGATGAAAGATGTTTTGGTAACAGGAAGGAAAAATACAAACAAACTCATGGTGATGATAATATACATGGCCAAATGGGAAAGCTGTGAGTATGACTCCACTCTGCAGTAGGAAAGTAAGATGAGAAAGGCAGATAAGTAGGAAATAGACCACGGAAAACTCTAAATGTTAGTCTAGGAAATTTTACTCTCATACTTCTGCTGAGACAGCCCCTTCCATGTATGTAATGTATTTATTGTTTTATGGAGATTAAGGTATCTATTATCCTCCCCTCTTTAGCAGTGGCATGCGTTGCAAATGGATAGGTAAGCCTCGGAGATATAACATCTAGTTTAAGGAAAGCTTACTGGAGATTTCAATAGGGCTGATTAAAAAACTAGTCCTTAGCTGGGGATGTAGCTTAGTGGTTCTGCCACCTGCCTTGTAAGCACGAGGACCCAAGTTCTAGTCCCCCGTACCAAGAAAAAAAAAAAAAAAAAGAAGGACTGGTCATTGTATTAGAAGTCCTGAAATTTTTTTTTCTTTTTTTTTTTGATACTTGGGATCGAACTCTGGCCCTTGCACTTGTGAGGCAGGCAGTGGAACCAGTGAGCTAAAAACTCAGCCCAGAAGTCCATCAAATTTGATGTTCAACTTAGATGATATTTTAAAAATAATTTGCCTATTTTTTTTTTTTTTTGAGACAGGGTCTCACTATGTAGTTGAGACTGACCTGGAACTCACTATGTAGCCCAGGCTGGTTTCCAACTCAAAGCAATCCTCCTGCCTCAGCCTCCCAAGTTCTGGGATTATAGGCATGTGCAGTTATATTTTCATTTTATCAATGAAGTGAAGTTAAAACTAAGAAGACAAGTGTAGAAGTATAGACAAATTTTACTTTTGTATTGATAAATTTTGGGGCTCAACTATACCTTAGCGATCAAGTTGAACTTTCCCATTTTAAAGTGAAGAAGTGCAGTTCTGGAAACTGTTACATGCACAAGGTAATTTCAGTAGTTTTCATGTTTTATCCCATTTGATTCCCTGCTATAGGCATAATAAGGTAAAATATGTCTATGATGCTTCCCCTCCTCTTGTTCATCCTAAGTGCAAATGGCTAGAAGCTGAATTTTTCCCAGTTTCTGTGGTGTCTCATCCGGACTTAATACCCTTACCCAACCTCTGCAGACAGGACACCATCCTGTTTTTTGTACTATGAATAACTCATCTGATCTTTCCAAAAAAGAAATCCTTGAAAGAAAATGTCTTAAACAAGGGAATAAATGCCTTATAATGGGAATTTTAGACATATACAAGAACAATGGAGAGATGCTTTTTGTCCTTCAAATTTTAGCATCTTCCTCTCTAGTTAAATGTGAGATTAGATTAGGTTGTGCTAATGTGGATGTTCTGTTAAATCCTAATGTCCTTTCAATGGACATTACTCCTGGGTGCCCAGTTGCCACAGAAAATTCAGTGCACTTCTGTCTGAGCTCTTCATCCTTTGCTTTATCCTGATTTTTCTACTGAATGCCTTAATTATTACCATGATAACATTCTTCTCTTGGTTGCTAGTGCTTGAAACTTGCACTCTCATTTCTCAAACTGTGCATTCAAACAGTCATGTGTATGTGTATCTGATTTCCTTCTCAAGATTATAAGCTTTTTGAAAGGAAAAGTTGAATTTTGGTTTTTGTTATATACTCCTTCAACACACAGCAGTGTCTAATGTGTAGTAGATCGTCAGTAAGTAGTCACTAAGTGAATGTGGATTATACCACAAGGGGTAATTGTTGTTAATATAAAGGAGGTGATTTAAATCAGGTGTTTGAATCCATAATAAACAAGTAACTGAAGGAAGTTTTATATGATGTTTAGTTTCTATTTGATTATTCTTTCCTGAAATCTAAGTACATTGTTATTCTACAATTCTATTCTTAGCTTCCAAGGCCTGCTTGGGCCTGTTGCGGAAAATAATGCTAAGAGAGGGTTTAAAACTTCATCAGGTAATGTGCTTTGCCAACGCAAAGTTTAATGGAACAGTATGTCATTGGGGAGAAAGGTGAAGTAACAAAAGAATTATTAAAAACCTGGCACCATTTTAGTACTGTAAATACTGTCATTAGCCATTTATAATGGGAAATTTGTAAAACATGTATATTTTGCCTTTACTTCAGAAGGAGATTTTATTTCGGCAATATGCAAGGAGTTGCCCTGAGTTTTACATTTGTCACTTGTAGGGTAAATTGAAAAATAAAAAAAAAAAACTTTAGCAAAAGTTACCCGAGAAAATGGCTAGAAAAGATGAGAATAAATAATGCAAATTTGCCATAATAATCTGTTAAGTGTAAGTCATTTTTAGGTAATTAAATGTATAAAATAAATTTAAGATCTCATTGATAGCTAAGAGAGATCTGTTTTATGATTTTCTGCCTTTGCTCTACATTAGAATCAGTTGAGGAGTTCTAAAAAATCTTGATGCTCAGGTTGCACTCTATACCAATTCAATCAGAATGCTGGGGGACATGAGGCAGGATCAGTGTTTCTAAAAGATCCCCAGGTGACTCCAAAATGTAGCAATTTTGGAGCCTATGCCATTGAGTAAGGGAGTGGG